TTCCTCTGTGAGCAGGGCAATTCCACAGGAATCCCTTTCTGCACCGGGCTCGGGGGGAGGCGCTTCACTCTACGCTGGACCACAGAGAATGGAGGAGTTGTGTGTCAAAATATTTCAGACTCAGTGAAGGAGCATCGGTGTCTGAGGATGCAAAAGGCAAATTTTCCTCTCTCCAAGGCAGTCCTTTGGAAAAGAGAGAGTTCTGGCTGCTTTTAGGCTGTACTTCTCTGTTTTATATAGTTTTTGTCTCATAATTGGTGAAAAATTGTGGATGGGCAGGGCAAAATAAGGAAGAAAGGTGGGACAGCTGGTTGTTAGCCCCTGAATGTGTATTAAGCTGGGAGAGCTGTTGGTGTAAAGACAAGACTGTAAGAAAATGAAACATTTCCTCTATACCTCATGGAGACGAACAAAGGTCAGTTCATCCTGTTGAGTACCCCTTGGGAATCATAAAAAAGATTTCTCAATGAGATACATACGTAAGAGTTAATTTTACAGTTTAAATGGATGGATTTTTGCTTCCTACGCTCTGCCAAGCTTTTAAATTTATTCCACGTCCAGAAGGGTTGATCCTTAGATGATCTGTCTCTTCTCAAGCAGAAAATGTTCTCTCTTGTCTCGGTCCGAAGGTTACGCTGGATTCATCCCCCGCCTCACGTGGGTTAACGGCGTCAACTACGTCCAGAGTGTGAAGGAAGCAATGACTGAATTCGACCGACATCAGGTAGATTATATGCACAAATCTTATTTCAACCACATAATGTTGGTGCTGATCCATCCTCAACGCCAAAAGCAGTTTCATTTACAATAGTTGTAGCATTAGAACTGGGGTTGTAAGTACAAGCCAAATAAAATGCTGTTAGGGAACATGCTGGGGAAAAAAAAAAAAATCATGAGCAATTAAATTCTGTAACTTGTTTCCTTGGGACATTAAGGGAGGATAAATGAGTTCATAAAGGGATTAAGCAAATCTCTTGAGGGTTGGGTCAAGGGTGGCTATTAAAAACGTTGCTCTGAGTGCAGAAACACAAGATGCAGCTCTCTGTGCCTCCCTTACACTATATAGCTTCTCCGGATGCCTTCCTGGGCTGCTCCTTCCTCCCTGTTAATTGGTTGTAAGGCTTCTCCCTTTACTAACATCATTTGTCTTAAAGAGATCTAGATCTTCTTCTTCCTCCTTTCGGGAAGGATGCAGAAATATCCCGTACCGGCCAAACTGTTTTGTCCCCTTGCCGTAAGATCTACCATATAATCCTCCTACACAGGGAAATGAGGTCCCTCCCACAGTTTGCATTTAAAGCTGCATTTAAAGCCGCGCGTTTTTCCTGCGAGAGGGATGGAGGGAGATCCCCGGGATGCAGGACCGAGGGCTGACCTGCTCGGCAGCAGGGACTGATGGCAGCACTGTCCTCCCACCGCGGGTAAAATCCACGATTGAGGAATCCCCAGCTGGGAGAAACTCAGCTGGGAAGAAATGGTTGAGGGGGGAGAGCGGGGCTGACAGCACTCGCGGCAGCCCGGTGCTTCGGCCGAAATGTATTTCCCTGCGCTGGCTTCCTCATCCTCCCTTTCTGCCATTAATAGGAATCGAAAGGAAGTAAAAAGAACGAAAAGCAGGTATTATCAAAACTGAATGTGCTGCTTGCCGAGCCTTCCTGCCCCGATTTCTTTGGAAATGCCTGCCCAGGCGGTAAATCAGCGAGGGAGGTATTTCTCCATCACTGGCTTCGGTGGGATCCAGGCTCGCAGAGGTTAGCTGCGGCACAGCGGGCGCTGGAGGAATACAAGCACGATTTAAAAAAAAAATAAAAAAAAAAAAATCACACCACATTTCTCTCTAAGATGGCTTCTGACTTCAAGCCACTAATCTCCTGCCCTAAGTCTCTGTTGCCCTAGGTTACATACTGGGATGTGCCATGGATCATTGCTTACTGTCAGCATCAGGCAAAATAACGCAATCCTCTCGCTTCAGCGCTGCGCTCGAGGAACTGCAGCAGCGGCTCCATCATCACCGGCCACAAAATGGTTCCGTGGTCTTCCCCTGGTTTGCTCAGCTCCTTGAACCCGCTCCCTTCCCCGCTGAGGACAGTGGCGCAGCTTTAGGGACACCTTTTTAGGGGTTTTGTCGCCGTGCAGAGCTGCAATCACCTTCCTCCAGCACAGCCCCTGCCCGGGTCCGGCCTTGGAGGGCGGCGACGTTCCAGGAGATGATTTCCACCCTTTTCACTAAACGCTCCCTTCCAGTTCCTCCTAGCTCGGGAATTACCAGCTCACGTGGAGAAACAAAACCAGCTGCAGGGGTCAAAGCGAAGCAGAGACTTGTGGAGTCGTGGCGCAGGGGCAGGGACCCAACTCCAGCAGGTGCCGCTGGGTCAGGGCGCATCAAACACGAGAGCACGAGGCCTTTGGGACCCGCGGGTGATGCTCAAAGGCGACGAGGACCAACACCTGGCCAGGAGCTGCTCTGGGCACACGGGGTCGGGGCTGGCAGCAGCCAAGCCCTGCTGGGAGAGACCTTGGAAAAATTAGAACTGCAAAAAAGTTGGTTCATGGTGGCTTAAATATTTTCTTTAACGCAGAGTCAAAGCACGTGACTTTGGCAAGAACGATGTTTTTTTAAATGAAATTTTTGTTTTCCAGTTTTTGCAGAGAAACCCGGGTTGCAGCTTTGGCAGAAGATTTCCCCAAACGTACTGGCCTGACAACAGAATTTACACCAGTGCTGGACTGATACCTTTCTACACAGGCTTTGTACCAGGTAAGAAACGAGTAGGGCTGCTAGTAGCTGTGGGGTCAAGGTAGTGAACGATTACTGAGAAGTTCCACACGGGTAGAGGATTTTTATTTTTTTTTAACCCAGTCTGTGCCAAGCAGAAGGCAGATGATATAAAGGGCATGAAAAGCACAAAAGCAGCAGTGAAATGGTTCCAAGAGGGGTGGTGGCTCCCCTGCACTCTGTGCCTGGTCCTTGGCCGTTGTTGTTGAGGTCTGAATTAAGTAATTTTGTGTAAGATAAGGGGAAAGGTCTGCCCCTGCCACCTGAAAGCATTAAGGCTGAAATTTCAAGAAATTGGTGGCTAATATTTGCTGTCTTTGGCCACAGCAAAGTCAAGCGGCCGCAGCTCGGTTGGAAAAAGACCTCTAAGATGAAAACAGATTTTAAAAACGCGATGTACTCGGTAACGCGGGATGGGAAATCACAGAGCTAAGCTAGAAAGAACCAGACTCACAGCTTGTCCTTCCTGCAGCACGGAGGAAGAAAATGGTAGAAGACACAAAATGTGGCAGAAAGTAAGGAGTGGGAAAAGAGGTATCCTGGCAGGGCGG